AGAAGCCTCTGGCATATTGGATGGCATTGCATATTTCTCTATATATTGTTTTGGAAAAGTTAAGGTTTGAGAGATACTGGGCAATAAGCCACTTTTTGAGCATTGTATGAATAGTATTATGAGTAGTAACATTAGTAAGTGTGATCTCATGGTTCTGTTTGTAGGCTGCTAGAGCATTGTTGAAAAGCTCATTATATTCCTTTTGGTATGCAGGAGTGATCTTGGAGTTGCGTGTAAAAGTAGTAAAGAATCTAGTATCCTGGTAAGCAAACTTAAGAGCAATTGCTCAGATAGCTGATATTGTGTTTGGATAGTAATAAGCTTGTGGCTAGTGAATTCGTAGATACATTCTGGGGTCTCAAGTGCTTTAGCAATTTTCTCAATGTTCCAATTGAAGAGTGTGTCAATTGGTGTAGCTGTTTTGAGGTAAACTTCTGATGCTCACACCATTTTGTCTTCTGGTGCCTCAGTTTTGAGTAGTTTGAGGTTTGTTTGAGTTACTAGGCTGTAGGTAGATTTAGTATTATTTGTCTTTATACTTGCTTGTATCCTAATAGGTGTGGAAGTATTATTGGATAGGGCTTTGGAGACTTTGTTTGAAGTTATAGCAAGTGGAGATATATTGGATAAGTTTCTGGGTCTTTTATGATTAGTACTAGAGTTGGTCTTGGTGGCAGCAGGGGTATAATTAAAAGTTGGTGCAGAGAGTGCAGGCTGAGTGATCTGGTTGGTGGGTATTGACATCTTTGTAGCATTGTTGACACTAGGGCTATTATTTGTATTAGTGTTAGGGAGTCTGTCTGTAGTTGTACTAAGTTTGTAGTGTTGTTGTTTGTGCTATTGTTTGTATAACCTGCAACTATATCTTGGGGTGACCAGGATTGGTGATAGGAGCAGTATATGCTACTTGTTTGTTGTTGCTTCTATTGGATTCATTGTCCAAGTCCAGATTTGTAATACAATTGTACGGGATTGAGGCTAGGTTTTTCTGTACTTTTAGCTTTTAAATATAGTTTCATATTTGCTTCATATAGGTCTGTAATTGTTGCAAGGTCACTATTCTGAGTAGGTTTCAGGTGTTTGGTGCTAATATTGACAATGTTACTTTTCTGTAATGTAAGGTCAAACAGAACTGATTGGGTAGGATCTTCATATCTGCATACCCATTGTGATGGGTAGTTGGTCAAGTTAGGAATCTTTTCAGATTTAGTAATATTGACAAAGAAGACAAAAGTGTCAGCATATTCAGGAACAGAGAAACTAACAGAAAATATAAGTTTGGACCAGTCTTTGATAGTAATGTTTAAAAAATTTTTTGTGTGTTCTACACTAGAATCTAGCGGTGAGCTGATGATAGAAGTTTTTTCAGGTTTTATGGGCTTTTGGAGTTCTGGAAAAAAATCTAAAGTAGGAAGAAAAGCTTCTAGTAGCCATGTTTTTATTGAGTTCTTGGGGCTTAATAAAGTGTAATACTTGTTGCTTTTGATTATTTTTGCTTAAAGTACTACTTGTAGTATGTTTTGTTTATCTGAAGGTAGGGTCCTTAGGACCGCTTTTGCAGGAGAATTGAAAAACTTCTTTGTTGCTGTTTTGGGTGTTTATAGCTACTAAATTGTTGTGATAGAGTCTTTTAATAAAATTTGCACCTCCTTTGAGTAGTTTTTGGGGTGCTGGATAACTTTACTTAAGAGCCAAATATTAATTTACTTAGTAAGTTTTTGAGAAAATATTGCAGAAAAGTTTTTTCTTCTTGTTCCTATTTTGGTAAAGTGATCTATGGGGAGAGTTTTAATAAATTCTTCGCAAATTATTTCTAATATTTTTTTGTAATATATATATATATATATTTGGTATTAAGGTGACCTCTTTGGTCTGGGACTTTTTATTAGAGTTATTATAGTGTTTTATAATGTAATTACAATGATAGTACATCAAGCCACACGTGCACTTTTGGTGTGTAATTTAAGTGGTCTGCCCAAGGTGTTAGTACTATGCTAAGGGTTCCACACTATTTGCTGTATCTGCACCCAACTGTGGGGTACTCATTTAAACTATCTGGTTCTAACTACCACCAGTATCCTTTAACGCATGGATATTACTCACCATTTTATACATAGATTTTGCTTCTACCCAATTTGAATTTTGCACCCTACCTTAGAACTTACTAACTTAAGCTAGTTTATTCTTGAGATAAACCTAACAGAGCAGTACATGTATTTACCTGCGTGTTCCTATAACTTCTTCCTAATTAGTATATATTGACCTGCCATTCTGTATACATATCTTATACTACCTTTTGTGGTGCTTCCATTCTATGAACATTTTTTAAGCGCCAACCTTCCTAATCAGGTGTCTATTACATACTCCTTGCTCTTATTCATTCATAACAATCTGATATCTGCATTTAGACCATCTTCTTATTCAGATTCTTTATCGTTCCTCCCTTACTTCTAGCTAGCAACTCGGAAGAGTCGGTCTGCTTAGGCTTTAGGTATCTGAAGGACACCCTCCTCTTGGTTCATACTTTCGGAGTGTATGCTATTTTCTTTTGGTGTGACAACCTAGCAGTTTGCTGGTGTGTTCTCCACTAGTGGACCTGGTCACTCTGTTCTCCGATCTCAGGCCCAGTTCAAATTCAGCCCTCTTGTGATACCATTGAAGATTACTACTATCTCCAAATTTGGGACTTGCCAAATAGGTTTTCGGTTTACTGGTTCCTCAGATTTATTGCGCCAAAGCTCCTATTACTAGATGGTGTGACCGAAGTTACAGATTAGTTCTAGATCCAATCGATAAGTATAGCTATCAACCAAACACATGTCTATTTTTCAAATATCATTGCCAGTAGGATTTGAACTCTAGACCTGCCACTTGGAGAGGGTGACGACTAGACCACTACACTAAGTCGCCACACCTCTTGTTTTTTTGTAATATTGTGAAATAAATTTTATAATATTACATAATATATTTTGTAATATTACGCACAATATTTCATAATTTATTGTACAATATTCTGCCTAGACTATAATTATTGTACAATATTTCAGGCCATAATAACTTACATAAGTTTATATTTATATATTTTAATAATGAATAATCTATTACAAAACATGATTTTACAAAAACTACAATTTCTTTTTGATATTATTTATCAAAACACCTCTAATACACACTTTTTTAATTTCAATATTTTATCTAAGTTATTACTTTTTATTCTTAAAAATATTTTTTTCAATTTTACTACTGTTTTCTTTATAAGTCTAAACTATAAAAAAATCTTTTGTTTATATTATTTTTTACTTTATATTTTATTTCTCAATATATTTATATTGCAATTAATCTTGCTCAATTGCATCTTTTTTTTTATAATAAATATCAAACTATACCAATTTTACCTTAATCTTAATTTTAAACCTATTTGACTTAGTTTGTATTTTGATACTAATCACTATAATTTCAACTCTATATCACTAGAAATTAAATATTATTCCAAATATGTAATAGTTATGAGGCACGAAGTGCTGAATAACTGAGGTATTTGCAAAATGTGAATTGATTGGTCAATTTTAAGTACTGAAGGTGCACAAAATTCACAAAATTCGATTATATATGCAAATACCGATAAGGTACTATTTGTATTTTTACAAGCACCTTGAAGACTAGCATGACACAATAGCACCATGCCAGTCTTCAAAGTGCTTGTAAAAATGCAAATAGTACCGAAGTTATAAGGCACAAGCGTCTCATAATTGTTTTATCTAGCATACTTTAGTAACTAATAAAGTTTTGCTATTTATTAATTTAAAGTATTCAAAAGTACTGCGATATTATTAATTTAATAGAATTTATATTTAAAAAGTTTATCTAAATATTAAAAGTTTAATAGATCACAGATTAAATCATTATCAGTATAAAATATAAATATTTTTTTTTTTATATATTTTTTCCCTGTTTTCTTTTTTTCATCTTTCTTATTTCACATTCTATTTTTCTTTAAGCTCACATTTTTTTAAATACACTTTTTTTCAAATCAGAATTCAAATATTGATATGGAGAGATATTCCAATTTCTTACCTTCTACTGATCAACTTTTAGCACTTGCCAAAAGTTGTATTCTAGAAAATACTATCAAAAATACTTAAGGATAGACTAAGATTATGAATTAGTGGTGTTTAGATGTTAACTATAAGGAACCATTAGAAAATCTAACCAAAAATATGATTGAACTTCAAGTCTCTCAATTTTATGTGGTGTAACAACTAAACATAAAAAATCTTATTTACAAACATTACTTAAAAATGCTTTGTCAGTAATTAATTGGCACTTGCAAAATGTAAAACCTGGTTGGCATTATAATTTGTATAATAAGAATGAATTTTCTAGATATAAAAAAAAAGGCCTTGGAAAATCCAAATCAACTGATAGCTTAACAATAGAAGAGATTTAACAGATTTTAAATTATGAGATTTTAGATTCAAATACTCCTTTAGAACTTTTGAAATGAGTTTTTTCTGAATTTCTATATTAGGTGCAACCAGAGAAGGTAAACATGTTAATTTGAATACATTACAAATTGCAGATACACCTAATGATATTATTTTAAGAAAAAACTAACAAAAAAATGACCAAGAAGAGATCGAAGGAAATCAATTTGATTTAGTTATACCTTTTCTATCAGATCTGCAAGGTGTTATAGAGCCTAATTCTGATATAAGAAAGTATCATTCTTTATATCCTAAAGATTCCAAATGTTTAAATTTTTATCTTTCTGTTTGTTGTAGCCCAAATAGTAATACTAATTTATTTATTATTTATTTATTGAACATTATATGTACTAATCCTAATAATTTATTAAAGCTATTGTTAAAGAAAAGTGGTATTTTGATAAACCATTAGCTGATTGTACAATCTACTCATTGTTCAAAACTATATGTATTGAATATAGAATAAACATTGAAACAAGAAATATTTGCAATCATTTTGGTAGATGAACAAGCATTATGGAACTTTTTAGCATTGGTGTACCTGAAAATACTAGTCATGTGATTAGTGGATATAAATCATCTGGTGGATACTATGCCTATACCAAACCTACAGATAACCTTAAGAAAGAAGCATTGGCAAATATACTTAACAAGTTGATTACAACTATGCTATCTAATCAATTTATGCCATCTGATCAAACTATGCTACCTGATTAAACTATACAAGATTTAATTAAGCATACTAATACTAGTTCTAATATTGATAAAGATTTAACAAATATTACATCTGAAAGTAAGGAATATTTAAGTGATAATGATAATAATTCACAAGTATTATTATAAATTATTAGACTTAATATTTTAAAAAAACATATTTTTTTTGTTAAAAAAAATTAAAAATTTGAACATATAGGAATTTTATAGAAATTTTCATACTACTCATGAGATTTTAGATAAAAGCATTACTTCTCACAAATGGGCTCTTAAAATTACTAATAATTAAGAAAATAAGTGACTTTATAGTAATAATAATGTAACAATTATTAAAAAATATTATAATAATTGTATATTCAATAATTAGATATGCTAAATGAATATTTTGTATTTTAAAAACTATTAAATTTTATTATAATTAAAAAATCTTGATTTAAAGTTTATTTTCACACAATCTTAACGATATAAAGTTTTTCATTTAACTAAGTTTTGAAAAAATTCTTACTCTAAAAAGTTTTTTTATACAACTAAATTTTTCTTTAACAATTAATAATTTAAAAAAAATCTACTTTAGACATTCTTTATACACTACAAATTAAAAAAACTCTAACCTAAATGTTTGTCACATAATCTGATTGACAATTTGAAAAAAAATTACTCTGCAATTACAATCTAAAAAAATCTACCCTTAATATTTTTCACATAATCACAATTCAGCAATTTAAAAAATTCTTGCCTAAAAATTCTTTGTACAAACACATTTTGAAAAAAAATTATACCCTAAATATTCTTCATACAACTGCAAAGTGAAAAAAAATCTGCCTTTAATCACATAATCACAATTTAAAAAAAAATTTTCTTTGTGTTATGACAATTTGAAAAAAATTCCGATTTAAATAATTTTTGTGCAAACACAATTTTATACAACTACAATTTGAAAAAAATAAATGTTTGTACAAGTAAATAATTAATGATTTAGATTTTTTGATTAGTATTCAATATATTGTAAATTGCAAATATCATTTAAATTTATAATTCTAAATAACTACTAACAGTTTGTAAATACAAAATCTATCAAATAGTAAATACCAGATAAAATATTTATATTAGGGCATTATTTTTTAGTGACCTGTTACCATAGCAATAGTAATCTGAATCAACTAAAATTTTTTAGTTGACTAGTCAGTCAACTAATTTTATAACTAGTCAACTAGTTATATATTATATAAAGAAAATATAATAAACTACAATTTATTAGTCAACTAATCAAAAATGTTAATTAACTATTAGTCTAATTAGTGTTGAGCTTTTTCAAATTTTATATGAATAGAAATTTGACCTGCATTATAAAATTTCAGCCAGCATTATAGCAGCCTGCTAATGCAGACCAGAATTATGTTCTGAAATATTTTGAAAACTCCAAAATATTCAATATGGGTTGTTGCCTAGCAAATCGGGGCTTAGAGAGGTTTTAACCAAAATCAAGATTTTTAGTGGGTTATATTCCTAAGTATGTGCTTTACTCATGGTAAAAATTTTGATACATATTAGCATATTATAATTTAGTACAATCTTGTACGCAGTTTTTTTATTTAATCCAGGGTTATATTCTAAATTTAGATCAGCAGTTAGTACTGCAATTTTTTACATGTTGCGATTGGCTAACTGAACTTTAAAATCTATGACGTAAGTGTTTGCACAATACATAGGTTATCAATATTCTAATTTTATTACAATACAAAATTTTGCATCAAGATGATTAATTGTTGATATTTACAAATAAAAAATTTGCTTCTAAGCCTCGATTTGCTAGGCAACAATCCATATGCATAATATACAACACTACATAGTCTATATATTTTTTATTTTTAGTTGATTTTTAGTTGACTAATAAAATTTAGTTGATTGGTTAATTTTAGTCGACTTAGTTGACTAAAACTTAGTTGATTCCTATCATTACATAGCAACCCTATAATTAACTAATCAAAATCAATTATGTAAATACTTTATTTTTTATTCTGAAGCCCGATTTAATAGTAATCAACCAATTAGATTCAATTATATAAAAATAAAAAAATTTCAAAAAATTTACATTATTAAAATAAAAATAAAAAAAAACAAAATTATCAAAGAACAGCTCTATACACAAAAAAAAATACTAACAAAAAAATTACAAAAAACACTTCTAAATCTAGCAAAAGAATTACCAAAGAATAGCCCCAAATCTGGCAAAAAAAATTACAAAGAAACTGCTCTAAACATTACTAGAAAACTACTTTAAACCCAACACAAATTACTAAAGAACTACTTCAAGCCCAGCAAAAAAATACTTCAAGCCTGGGAAAGAAATTATCCAAACCCGGCTAAAAAACTAATAAGAATTTATTAAAAATTAGTATAGGTTTCTCAGTAGAAAATTACCAGAAAACTGCTTCAAACCTGTCAAAGAAATTACCAAAGAACTGCTTCAAAGTCTTAAGAAATCTAACAAAAAATTGTTCCAAGCCTGGCAAAGAAATTACCAAAGAATTTTCTCAAGCCCAGCAAAAAAAATACCAAAGAATTACTCCAAGCCCGGTGAAGAAATTACCAAATAATTGTTTCAAGCCTGGTGAAAAAACTAAGAATTTATTAAATATTAGTGTAGATTTCTTTGTAGAAAATTACCAGAGAATTGCTCCAAACCCGGCAAAGAAATTATCTGTAAGATTCTTAGTGAATCAGGCCAGAACACTTAAGAAGCATAAGCGACTTTTATTGTATTTAGATTAAATAAATTATATTTTTATTATCTTAATTAATCTTACAAAATTGTTTGCCTTTTTGCACTTCGAAAGAAGCAACCTTTTTATACATTTTAACAGTACATAATGTTTTAAATAAATAATAATAATTGCACAAAACTAATATAAATAATTAAGTGTTGTAGTCTTAATAGTCTTAGAGTTTATTATTCCCAGGAGCATATTCGTAAGATAAGAGGTAAATAAATACAAATTATAGAGGTGTGGTGACTTAGTGAAGTGGTCTAGTTGTCACCCTCGTCACCAAACGTTATGGGAAGATCCCATGTTCGAATCCTAGGGACGACACTTTTGATACATGGGAAAAGTCTGCAACGATCTTTACTAAGGTTGGCCCATGGAAAATCTGTCAGGATGGTGCTTGGTAGCACTGTTGAGGTAATTCTGGAAGGCTATAATCTGTGGGCTTTGCTTGGCACAGGTCACAGAACCAGAGATCGAAGCCTGTTTGGGAAGTCCTGAGTTTGGAGGTAGCAGTGATCTTCAACGGTACTACATGAAGGCTGAATTTGAACTGGGGCCCGGAATTGGAGAACCGAGTGATCAGGTCCTTTAGTAGGAAGACATACTAGCCGAACTGCCGGTTTAAACGCACCAGAGGAAAAGGCCATATGCTCCGAAAGTATGGACCAAGAGGAAGGCGTCCTTTAGGCACCTAAAGCCTGGGCAGACCAACTCATCTGGGTTGCTGACTAGAAGTAAGGGATGAACCGATAAAGAATCTGGGTAAAAAGACAGCTAGAATGTGGGTACTGGGGTTGTTGTAAACTAATACAAGAGCAGGAGTATATAATAGAAGACTAATTAGGAAGGTTGTACTTGAGATACAGATTGTGTTACATCAGCACCCCAAAAGGTAGCATGAAATACGAACACAATGGCAGCAGACAATATGTACTAATTGGGAAGAAATTACTGAACATGCAGGTGAATACATATGTGGGACGTGTACTACTCTGTTAGGTTTACCTCATAGATAGATTAGCCTCTTTGGGGTTAGTAAGTCCTAAGGTGGGTGCAAAATCAGATTAGGCAATAGCAAACTATCTGTGTATAGTAAGCTACACCTCAGAATAGGTAGTATCTATTGGTTTGAAAGTAGGTTATGGTCAGAGGGTTTAAACAGGTACCCTCTAGTTGGGGTACAGGTATGGCAGATAGTGTAGAACCTTCGGGCAGACTACTTAAATTAGGCACTCAAAAGATACACATGTGGCTATATGTACCCTTACTGTAATTGAAAAACAAAACTATCTAATAAACCGTTCCCCGACCAAAGAGGTCACCTTAATACCAAAAATATATATATATATAAATACAAATAATAATAAATAAATAAATAAGCATAATGATCATGATGATAAATAAGATCATTATGTTAATATAAATAACGGGATGTCATGGTTACAAAAATTATAGGATAATGATTCTAATAATATATTAACCTTACTTGTCCTCATGATACAGTATACTATTTGTTATTTACTTGTCCCTGTAATATGGTATACTATCTGTTACTAAAAAGGAAAATTAGTATTATAGATTAATATAGCTTATTACATTACCAAAAAACTGCTCAAAAATCTAATGAAACCTATTAAAAAATTGCTCAAACCCATCAAAAGAACTACTCCAAGCCTAGCACCAAAAAATTGCTCTAAACCAGCAAAGAAATTATTATAGAAATGCTTCAAGCCTAGCAAAAAAAATACTAGAGAATTACTTCAAGCCCGGCAAAGAAATTATCAAAAAATTGCTTTAAATTTGGTAAAGAAACTAAGAATTTATTGAAAATTAATATAGGTTTCTCAGTAGAAAATTACTATAGAAATGCTCTAAACTCAACAAAGAAATTACCAAAAAACTGCTCCAAAGTTCTAAGAAACCTACTAAAGAATTGCTCTAAACCCAGCAAAAAATTATCAAAAAACTGCCCAATCCTGACAAAAAAATACCAGAGAATTACTTTAAGTCTGATGAAGAAATTATCAAAGAATTGCTCCAAACCTGTAAAGAAACTAAGAATTTATTAAAAATTAGTGTAGATTCCTTTGTAGAAAACTACCAGAGAATTGCTACAAACCTGGCAAAGAAATTACTAAAAAAACTGCTCAGAAGTTCAAAGATACCTATCGGAGAATTGCTCCAAACTCATTAAAAAGAACTGCTCCAAGCCTGGCAAAGAAATTGCTTCAAACCCAGTGAAGAAACTAATAAGAATTTTATTAAAAATAGTGCAGATTTCTTTGTAGAAAACTACTATAGAACTGCTCCAAACTAGACAAAAAAACTACCAAAAAACTGCTCAAGAAATCTACCAGAAAATTGCTCCAAACTTGTCGAAAAAAACTGCTTCAAGCCTGGCAAAGAAATTACCAAAGAGTTGCTTCAAACCTGGCAAAGAAACTAATAAGAATTTATTAAAAATTAGTGTAGGTTTCTTTGTAAAAAACTATTAAAAACTAAGAATTTATTTAAAATTAGT